ACTCATACAATCCAATGAGTCTGAGGATTTGGATGCGGATTGTTTGATAATAACTTTAACAAGCAAGTCGATATATTAATTGAACCTTGACAATTAATATCGCAATTGTCACTCTCCGAAAGGCAGGAAAGAAAAATAACAAAATTCCACCGACCCCGGCGAAGTGTTAATTTGATCGGACTCGTATCCGTAAATCCGAAATCATGTAATTGAGCTATACAGGCGACTAAATCTGTCGCCTGATTGAATCTTTAACCTAACGAGTTATAAGTTCGAAAGATATTTCACTTATATCTACATACTCTCCTACACATATCATATCGTAAGTGTCAAACGCTAGCGTAACACAATACGTGCTGATCGTTGATTAATATGTGTCGATATATCTCTAGATGAATAGAACAAATGCAGACTAATGAACGGACAGAATGGAATAGCGAAATTCGCTCTCGGGGAGAGGAAGCGAGAGACTAACGGAAGACTTTTGTAATATTTGCTGTTTTAACGTAGGAAATAAACGCCGTCATCGTTTAACAGCGTGCGTCCACTGAAAGACATTGAGAACGCGCATTTGAAAAGAAAAGAAAAATTATAAGAAGCGCGACAACGCGGATTTAACAATTTATGACCGAATGACAAACGACTGACAAATATACATACACCTATGGCTGTGTTCCAAATTTACTGCCAGCGCTGAAAATGCTACAGTTTATGTTACGTGCACTATAGATTTTCAGTATAGGCAGCCAATCAATTTTGGAATATAGTCTACGTACAATATATATTGTATATATATATGTACAGGGGAAAGTGAGGGAATTATATGCACTTAAGGGGAATTCATTGCTATGATGTGATTTTTTAAGTTGAAGTCAATGTGAACACGGAAATACAAAGTATAAACATTCTTTTAAACGATATGCATTCTTGTATTTAACAATTTTTCATTTGATAATGTTGTATTTGGCAAAAAGTGAAAAAAGTAAAAGCGAAAAAATTTTTCGCGTGTCGGGTAATTGTGCGCATGGGTTGGGTAATTATGCGCAAAGCCAAAATCGTAACAAATAAATATATAAGAAATAAATATATAAGAAATAAAATTAATAAAATAAAAATATTTCATGAGTGTGAGAGAGAGAGAGAGAGAGAGAAAGAAAGAGAGAAATGTTTCATGGAATGTTGATAAGAAAATGAAAAAGTATATTATTGTACCAATGTTAACATAAAATTAATATAAACTTTGAAGAAATAATACAAATAAAAATTGGAAAAATTAATTATTTAAACAAAAATCGCATATGTAATTCTCAGGATCATCAGCTCCACTGCATTTTTCGTGGACCCATTCAGGACACTGGCAGCATTGAAACCACCCAGTCGAAATAAGCTAAAAGTAACATAACGTCAATATTATAATTTTGCACTCTACAATGTAACTCCCAAGGAACACACAAAAATCAACAAAATATCAAAATAACATCAAAATGACTTTATTTTGATGCTTAAAGTAAAAAAACAATCAAATTTTTGTACCTAAAAATCATCATTTTGACGTCAAACTACATCATTTTGATTCTCTCACGACTTGGTGTGTTTCTTGAGTTGTTATGTAACACCATGTGTTATGTTATATTTATATTGTGGAATACGAAATTACAACATTAATATCATATTAGTTTGTCGGTTGGACAGAGTTCCATATCTTTCGAATTCTTCGCAAATAGTGCACTTTTCATTGAGAGAAAACTTTGAATTGTCCATGCGCACAATTACCCGCCGCGAATTGATTTGATAAGAAAAATTGATTACTCAAAGACTTTTTATCTTAACTCAATGAATAATAGCTCAAAAGACGCGCAAAATGACGTACTTTTATAAGGTATGTACGATTAAATAAACAAAATAAGAATACGGACGTATCGCCTTATTTTCTGGACGCCAAAATTATTATCAAATTATGTAATTTCATTCTTTCTCACTTTTGCCATTAACTACAGTTTTAAACTACAGTGTAACTTACGGTTATATTTTAAAAGAACTATCTTTAGCTTAGAAATTCCGCTGCGTGGCTGCGGTGACGTCTCCATTCGTCGGGAAAATGCCAAACCAAAATGCGCACAATTCGGTCTTCAAGTAAATTTCGAAATGGCTGAATTCAATTGATTTATCGAAATATAAGCGTTATGAACTGCGTTATGATCCGTAATAATAAAATTGTTTAATTCATTTATATTTATTTATTAATCAAGTTTAAAATTTCGTGAAAATTCAAACGGAAGAAAACGCTACACTATGGGTGATTCGTTTTGTATGACGTCAACAGGATTGTTTCGTCTTCGCGCGTTTTGTCTGCTATTACACGCATTGATAGTTCCGCAGTTTCTTTTAACGAAATGTTCGAAGAAAGTATATAAAGATGACAAATATTTTAGAACCAGGTTTTGTGAAAGCTGACTCAACAAATCTTGATGTGTTTATAGAGTGATAATTTTAAGGCTGCTGAGATTAGGAATACAAAGGCTGCAATGTAAGTACATTATTCATGAATATTTGTTTTAACGTCTCATTATTACGATTCATTACTTTTTCGATGTAAATAGAAAATAATTTATCAACAATAATATTGAACGATTATTATAGGTTTTCGTTTTTCAGAAGCAAAGCGAAGGGGATAATTTACTGTTCGTTTTCTATCAGATTGACAAGCAAATTTGTGTGCCACATCAGGTTTTATTTTTATTGGCTCACTTATTAAACAGAAGCGCACATAATTTTCCTTATCGTTTTTGAACTGGAAAATAGTACATAAAAATAATACTCATTTTTATAGAAATTTTTATAGAAATCATTTACGTGTCATCAGTGGAGCGTATTCCCCGTTTTATCAAACGCATTTTTTTATGGATATTATTATTATTATTGTCAATCATAATAGAGGCCTACAAAAAATTCTTTTTATTGACCTAGAAACGGCTGTATATAATTTCGAATGTTTTTGATGTGCTAAAATCAAATCCGTAGTCTAAATTGTTCTTTCACGTCAGGTTTCCGAGATATTCTAACCTTAAAGTGCCAAAAACGCTGTTTTGGGCATTTTTAAATTAGAATATCTCGTAAACCTGATGTGACGGAGCAATTTGGACTATTTGGATTTGGTTTTAGCATGCCAAAAACCTTCGGAATTACATACCTCTGTTTCTGGGTCAAAATTCATGTCGGCTTGTGTAATTTTA